CCAGGTGTAAGCATCTTCAATTTCCTTTATCCCCATAAAATTAGCTTGAGGTAATTGGATGGGTGGATGCATACATGGGGTCACTGCTCTCGTCAGAGCAGTTGTTTAAGGTACTGGAGATGCTTTGTCCGGAAACCTGGACAAAACCTGGAGAGAGTCACTACTGTTGAACGCAGTCCCTGCCTTAGGAAGATGTCCCTTGAGGACATTCAGAAGGTTTTAAGGGTTCACTCTTGAGCAGTCAGAGTTGTGGTGAGGGCTAGGGGTTGATTGTATTCTGGGTTTTAGTGCTATGCCTGCAGTTTTTATAGTAAAATCTGAAAGAAAACCACATAGAAAAGAATGAACCTGTCAGAGTAAACTAGCATCTTTTCTTTTGAAAACCGAATCCAGCCTCTGTTTAGAAGAGGCCGCTGTAGATGAATCATGCCGTCATTTCATAGGCATCATGACCAGAGCAGGAGTTTAGAACCTGAGAGCTCAAGTGTAACCTTGGCTCGCCCACCATACTGAATACTTGAATACTTGAGACTGAGAGGCGTAACTGTACTGTCTGCCCTAACTACCCTTTGCTATTGGCAGACATAAGCTTGTGAAATACTTTGGAAGTGTCAATGGATAGTTTTAAGGTATAATTAGTGCATTTAATCTTCACGCTTTTTTATGTTTTTTGTTTTTTAGTAAGTAACTTAGCACTTGTAAAACCTGAAAAAACTAAAGCAGTAGAGAACTACCTTATCCAGATGGCGCGGTATGGACAGCTAAGCGGGAAGGTAAGCCCCGACTGCCTGAAGGAGTGTGTTGTTGCCTGCAGTCTGGAAGATGGCTCAGCAGTTACAGTGCTTGTTCTCTCGCAGAAGGTGGAGCTTGGTGCTTAGTACCCGCATCAGGCAGCTCACAACTGCCTGTAACTCCAGCTCCAGCAGATCCAGTGCCCTGATCTCTATGCATGCATATGGTTCATATAGATAGATACATTGTAGCAGAATACAAAATATGCACTTGATTTTTTTTTAAAGGTTTATTTATTTATTATGTATACAACTGTCTGTCTCTATGTATGCCCAGAGGGCGCCATATCTTATTCAGATGGTTATGAGCCACCATGTGGGTGCTGGGAATTGAACTCAGGACCTCTGGAAGAGCAGCCAGTGCTCTTAACCTCTGAGCCATCTCTCCAGCCCTTGCACTTGAATTTTTAAAACTTAAAAAGTCAGCTGTACCAAATAATTTCCATATTTGAATATACAATTCTTGCTGACTCAAAAGTTTTAAAAGAGAGAATAATCACCCCTACTGTAAATCTTGAGTGATGATTGCCTGTCCTAAAATGTTCAGCTTTCTCCTTTCGTGGTATTGTGTGGAATATCATCACTTGTATCAATGTGACTTGGTGACCATTAGTCACCAGCCTCAAATTGTTCCTGCGCTGGAATAGGGGTTGTAGGCATCAACTAAAACACCACAGTGTTTGTAGAAGCTAGACTTTTTTTTTTCTTGCACTTATGAAGGGGAGGTTGAAGTCCTTGGTTTGTGTGTGTCTGACTATATCACCGTGAAGACTATAAGCCCTGTCTGCACTGGGCTGGAGCTGGAAAGAACCAGCTTTTCTGAGGATGTTGTCTTTGGGGTGGTCTGGGCAGAGGTGGCGTATCCATACCTGTGACCTTCCATTGCTTTGCTAGCAGTGACAAAGGTGGCCTTAAACCCACTCACTTTCCTGAGGGCTGTCCCTCTACTTCCTCCTGATCTATTCCTGCACCTTGGAGAGAGGAGAGACTTCATGATTGGTCTGCTTAGAGATGGTGTATGCTTTGACACACTTTTTTCTTTCTGGTTATAGGTGTCAGAACAAGGTTTAATAGAAATACTTGAGAAGGTCAGCCAACAGACAGAAAAGAAAACAACAGTTAAAGTAAGTGCCCCACGTGCATGGCAGAAGGCGCGGTTGTGTCGTTTTCAGTGTGCGCCTGAACAATCGGTGCTTTTGAGCTTTTAGACACTGATTTGTCTGATGTGGTTGGGAGCAGTCTGGCTATGTGGAGAGTGTAATGTTAAGATTCTTACCTTTAATTACTCCTCTTCACTTACTAAGTTGTTTCAAAAATGCACACAAAGAAGCCTCACTTGAGTAATTAAAAATGTTTTTCTCAGAAAATTGGAGGCTTTAGAAAGTGTCTGACATTCCTTTAATTTTCCCCTAGTTCAACAGAAGAAAAGTAATGGACTCCGATGAAGATGATGATTACTAAGAGGAAATGCTTAGACTTATGGAGCAGCGCCTAGGGCAGTTACAACCTTTTAAATGTTTACTTTGTTTATTGTCTATATATGCCTTTTGAAAAAATAAACTTGTTACTCAAACTAAAGCAGTTTGAGTTTTTCAGAATCACAGGCCTCTCTCAAGAAGATCTGCATTTTGAATAATTTTTCTTTTCCTTCCAAAAACTTCCAAAAATGGTGCCCATGCAAGTTTACCCTTTGCAGCTGGGATGTTAACATGGGTGGAGAAATAGGAGCTGTGCCAGCATGCTGCAGCCAGAGACATCAGGGGAGCAAAACTCTGGGCAGCCGGATCTGCTTTAAGATCTGAACACATCAAGCCGGGCGGTGGTGGCACAAGCCTTTAATCCTAGCACTCGGGAAGCAGAGGCAGAGGCAGAGGCAGGTGGATCTCTGTGAGTTCGAGGCCAGCCTGGTCTACAAGAGCGAGTTTCAGGACAGGCCCCAAAGCTACACGGGAAACCCTGTCTCGACAAACCAGAAAAAAAAAAAAAATCTGAGTACATCTAGCACTCTTAAGGCAGAACTTGTAGAAGCTGGGACTATTCTTTTTCCTGCAGGTAGCATTTCAAATTCCCAGCTTTTGATTTATTTTACTTTCCAGAGTTGTTGAGTTTATTCAACAAATACCATTCTGATCTAAAACAACTAGAGTGGCACTTTTGCAAATAACTATGACACCTGGGGTAACTGTTGGACAGTGACGTGTTTACAAGAGGAGTAGGCTAGGGTGAGGGCTCCATGCTGACCAGCTCGGGACACGGTTCTTTTTCCAGCACCCATGTTGGGCAGCTCACAACAGCCTGTACCTCCAGCTCAAGGGGATCAGACATCCTCTAAGCCTCAGAAACCTACACATGAGCCCCCTTATAAGCACACAAACATAATAATAAAAATAAATCGAAAAAATGCAAAAAAAGTGAATTGTCAGTTTGTGTTCAGGATGGCACCATCGTGGTCGATCTGCCGATGGGTTTTGTGGGTGGTTTTGGTCCAGAGGGTTTTTGTTGAATATGCTTTGGGTTTGTTGTTGCTGTTATGTCAAAGCCGGTCTCCACTCTCCATTTAGCCAAGGATGATCTCAGACCGATGATTTCCTGCCTCCACATCTCTAGTGCTGAGATTACATAAGTGTACCACACCTGCTCTTTGTGATGCTGGGAACTGAACACAGAACTTCATGAGTGCTAAGTAAACGATGCAAACCTTCAAATTACCAGTTCTACTTAAAATTTGCTTTATGGCTCATTGATATGAAATGCTAGAAAGATACCTGACATGTCTCTGCAAGTTCTGTTACATGTTTCCTTACAGTCACCAGTCCCGATGCATGAGGTGTGTTGTCAAAGGACACATGGGAATGGAAAGTTGACTGTACAAGGATGGGGTCCTGAAGACAGCTAACAAGCTATGTGCAGTCAGCCTGCAGGCGGGGCGCTGGCAGTACTTGGAATTACAAACACGGGTTTGAGCATTGCCAATTTTAATGGCTATCTCAAGTTTTCCTTTTAAGTGGGGAAGGCAACTGCAGAAACACATGGAAGAATAATTGCTGCAGTACTCAGGGCAGTGGTTAGCCAGTGAGCCTGGGCCCTGAGGAGTGCACTGCAAACTGAAACACCACTCAACTGCCTGTGTCTGCCTTAGAATCTGCCCTGATAAACCATGAGGTCAAGAGCCGGAGCAGAGCAGCACACATCAGTAACATGGGTTTGTTTAAAATGAAAAAGGAAGGGCTGGAGAGATGGCTCAGCACCTCACAACCACCCTGAACTCTGGTCTCAGGGGGTCTGATGCCCTCTTTCCTGTGTGGTCATGAGGCACACAGAAAAGTAGGCCAATACCCATTCTCATTAAGTGGGAAAGAGAAGAATCAACAAGCCAACAGAGAGCACCTGTGCTCATTCTGTGCCATGAGGCTACATCCGTTCTTTTCCTGTTTCCTGTGCTGGTACAGACCTGTAATCCCAGCTCCTTGGGAAACCAAGGCTAGCCTGGGTAACTTAAGTAAACCAGGAGTGTCTGTGGGCAGGCTTGAGAATTGTGTAGCCATTGAGCCATCTTCATTGTACCGACCCTGAGCGGGTGCATGGGCAATAGTTTGCTCTGAGTGATCGAGGTGAGTGTGCTAGTGACTTAATTACAGGAGACACTGCATCCACCCAGTGAGGACTGTTCCCACACAGCACGGTGTTGTGCAGGACTGTCCCCTCAGCCAGACTGCACCATGTTCATCATCAGCTGGCCCACTTGCAAAGATCATTGCGGCTGGATGGGTGTGTTGAATGTTACTGTTCCTTTATGGTAGGGGGAAGGTGACAGTCATAGGACCCTGAGCTGAATGTACACCACCTCCTCCAGCCTGTGATTGCACATGGCCTCCGGGAGGGGCTAGCGTGCATATATAGAAAGGCAAGGAAAGACTAGGGAAGGGGGCTCCATCTACACAGGCAAGATTCCTCATCAATGACCTTCCACCAGTATGACTACTTTTAAGGCTTCACGCCCATTGTTCTGTAAGGAAGCTCAAGCTCAGTAAACTCGGTTGGTTCCCCAGCGTTAACTCCAGTGTAATCATACCTTGGTTTGTCATTGGGATCTCAGGAAAAAGGAATGGGCAAATTCCATCTCCCTGGGGGGGGGGGGATTTTCACAATAGGTTTAGAGAAGGTGGCTGAGGAACTACACAACAAAATGAAAAAGCTTACATGACATGCTCAAGAATCATAGAGTTTACTGTTTTCTTTTCCATCATTTGGCACATATCCAAGGCACATTAGAAAATTAGAAATCATAAATTACTTTGTAGAAAAATAATCAGCCCCTCCCTTCTATACATCCACACAGATCTCCAAGAGTGTGCACAAAGTCATTTCCTCTTTACAAAGTTCTCTGAAAACGGACTCAGGATGAACCCATGTTTGCAACTTTAGGATCAGGAACATAAAAAAATAATAGAATCTATAGAAAGTTATAAAAAGGAAACAATGACAATGAATTCTAACTTAAACTCTGACCTGGCTTGTGCTGTAAATTTTGAATTTGAATCAAAAGATTTAAGATGTGCCAAAGCTGCTCTCCGGGAACCATCCGTCAGGTGTGCTGTCAGGGAGGCTCTTAACGGAAAGGAGTGTGAGCAGAAACTGCTACAGGTGCACACGTGCAGTGACCCAAGTGTCCGTGTTGTTGGGAAAGTGACGGTGACGGCCAGCCTTCCCCAAATGTGTAGAACAAGGCAAAATGGCAGGTCCTTTTCAGTGGGATGGATGGACATCAAAATGGCATTCAGGCACTTCCCAGATCAAGTGTTTCCAGGTTCCGCTTCTTCACCCCAACAGGATGCTTCTCTGCCTGGCATCCAGTTCCGCAGGACTGACATTGCTTCTCTTGACGTCTCCCGGACATGAAGACCTTTCTAGCATAGGGTTTGCCCGCTTATCCACACCACAGACACCCAGCACCTTCCAGCCAAAGATGAGAATCTGATGGTGTGAAGCCTTTGCTCATAACCAGGAAATCCAAATACTAAGCTGAAGGGGCTCTTTCGTTCCCTCTTATTCCTTTTCAAGTATATTAGTTAGCTTTGAAGAGGAGAGGGTGGTGAATCCGAGGGACAGTCTCTCAAGCTGGTTATTTAAAGTATGCTTAGTTCTAAGTTGTATCCATGCTCACCAATCTTACTGCAAACTCATGTCTCGGTGGCAGATTTACCAATCCCTTACTGCTAAGATTGAGAAACACTACCCTCTTGGGTACTCAGGTGGCCAGTCACCTCTGGAAGCTGGGGTATGGCTGCGTCATTGACCGTATGCCGGCGGACCATCCGCCTGTGTCCAGGAGCATGCCTTGATACAGGCCTCTCTGGGAGCCCCTTGTTTCCTTCCTCAGAAGCCTGGCATCTGTTCTGGTCTGAGGAGTCATTCTGAATTCCCGAGACTCTTTGCTTCTCTGGCTGAAGAAGAGAAAGCTGAGGTTATGGCCGTACTGTGTGGTTTAAACCACCACTAAATAGCATCAGCTCTACCTGATTACACACTGATAACCCCACAGACACAGTGACAGTTTGATGTTCCTGTGAGTGACAGGTGATTGTCGTGCTCTGGAGACAAGACACAAAGTGCTTTGTGTGTTTTTCTCCTTTTTTCATCCTTTTTAAGGATTTTTGTTTAGTATGTATATAGTGTTCTGCCTGCATATATCCCTGCAGGCCAGAAGAGGGCACCAGATCTTATTAGAGGTGGTTGTGAGCCACCACGTGGTTGCTGGGAATTGAACTCTCTTAACCTCTGAGCCATCTCTCCAGCACTACTTTGTGTTTCTAATCTCTGACCAGTGTATGCCCTTGCTGCTCCTGCTTTTCCAGCAAGAAAACAATGGAAGAGCACACTTGAGTGACCCTCAGCAAGATGTTCTATCCCTGCTCCTGGGCAGGATACCCAGCAAAGCTGTGGAAAATTAATATGAAATCACACTTTGTCATGTCAGCTGCACATGGCGGCTCACACCAGGAACCCTGGCCCTTGGGAACCGAGGCAGGGAGATAACCACGAATGTGAGGACAGTCCACATTACTGGGAAATTCTGTCTCAGTAAACGGGGTGCTAAATCTGCCACAGTAATTGTTAAGTAGATTCTCTAAAATAATCATGTGTAAGTGTTATATATCTGTCCCAGCAAACCTGCAGCAGCCAGGAAAGGCTGAATAGACTGTACATCGGAGTTTTTCTAATCAACTGATTCAGTAGGAAGTTGGGTACATAGAGAACCATGGGGGGGGTTATAACATTACATTATGCACACACTGTCCATATTTCAAATATTAAAAGGCAGTTAAATCTGGACTATTCTCTCTGTTCACACTGAGTTGCAGCTTCCCATGTACACCACGACTCTGCACGTCTCCCCGACTTTCTTGGCTCAGGACTGTAATTTTATAGTTTTTGGAGACCAGGTCTCACTATGTAGCCCTGGCTGGTCTTGAACTCAGAGATCCACCCACCTCTGCCTCCCAAATGCTGGGAGCAAAGGCATGCACCACCATGCCTGTCCAGAGCTGTATTGAAATTTACTCTTAAGTCCACACTCTTGCTTCACGGCAGAGCTGAAGTTGCAGCTGTTGCTAATTCTTTCAGTGAAGCGGGTAGTGAGATGAGGAGTGTTGAGGAGACATGTCCACTGTGGGTTATTTTTGAAAAAGTCGGGCGATAAGCCCTTGCTGGGTAATCACTCACCTCCTGCAGAGAACCTCCAGAAAGATCAGGCACACTTCTATCCCTTCCCAGAGTTTCCCTTGAAGTTCTTTCCCTGAAATGCAAAATAAACCAGGTATTAATCCAAAACCAAGTTAAACATCTGGGTAATGGCGGAAGCCTTCTGCTAGCCACAAGATGGCAGCATTGCATGCACAGTTAAAGCTGCACATATTTCTCATCCCTTGGAGCAAACCTCAGGCCCTTGGAGCAAACCTCAGCTCAGAACCACAAAGGTCACCTGGAACTAGATACTCACTGGAACCGCGCCCCAGGGTTAACGAGGCAAAACTGTCTTCTAAAAGGCTCTTCTGGCAGGTTGTACATTTTGGGATTCCCTGTGGGGGGAAAAACCAGTAAAACGTGAAAATTTGTAAGTAAAAGGAAACGGGCTGGGCGTGGTGGCACACACTTTTAATCCCAGCACTTTGGAGGCACAAGCAGGCAGATCTGAGTTTGAGACCAGCCTGGTCTACAAAGCAAATTCCCGACAGTCAGGGCTACACAGAAACCATGTCTCAAAAAAACAAACAATCAACCTGTAGCACAAACAAGTTCTCTGATTTCCTAGCTCAACAAAACTTAGAAAATCTACTTACTTTGAAAACCTGTACCTAGTTGTTTCTTATGCAAACCTGGTAAGACAAAGCCAAGTCTATATACTGATGCTTCTCAGCTGTGGCGGGTTATGGCAAAGGTCACCCTGGGATTATCTAGGAATGAGAGTGGGTTTATCTACATGGTTGCAATTGCATTCAAACTCAGTTTTGAAAAGTTCATAAGACAGAATCCCTTTTAAATAACCTTTTAAAGAGAAAGTATTTGGGCTGGAAAAATGGCTCAGAAGTTAAGAGCACTGACTGCTCTTCCAGAGGACCTGGGTTCAATTCCCAGCACCCACATGGCAACTAACAACTGTCTGGAACTCCTGTTTCAGGGGATCTGACACCCTCATCTAGATATACTTGCAGGCAAAACACCAGTGTACATAAAAAATAAAACTAAATTAAACTTCTGTAAAGAATAAAAATTAAAAAAGAGAAAGTACTCAGTCGGACACTGTTGGCTAGGTGCTGTTCTAATCACCACCACCCTTGGCACCCTGCAAATTAGAACTAAGAAGGGCTGGGGAGACAGCTCAGCAGTTCAGATAGTGAAGAGAGTGTACCACTATTAGAAAAGATACAACTTTGGTTGTCAGGTGACTCACAGCCACCGTAACTCTGGTTCCAAGGGTTCTGTCGCCCTCTTCTGGACTCCATAAGCACCTGCACTCATGTGCACATACCCACATACAGCTATGCACATATATACATAACTAAAACAATCTTAAAAGAGGGAAGGAAAAGTTGGCAATTGCCTAGCAAGTGCAAGGTCATAGGTTATATCCTCATCACAGTGGAAAAAGGGAAAATCCTTAGGGCAGTGGTTCCCAACCTTCCAAATGCTGTGACCTTTAATATAGTTCCTCATGTGGTGACTCCAACCATAAAATTATTTAATTAAAAAACAGCTCTTCACCCGATGAATCATGATCTGGCATGGCTTTTATTGTCCCCATATCCCTCCTTGTCAGGACAAAATTACAACTTTTCATTTATAATTAAATGAAAACAGGGGTAGGAGCATGACTCAGTAGTAGAGCACCTGCTTGGCATGTATGAAGCCACAGGTTCATGTCCAACACCACAGAAATACCAACACACACATATGTATGTGTGTGTGTGTGTGTGTGTGTGTGTGTGTGTGTGTGTGTACTGTATATATATACTGAAGGGGGGAGATATCTTGGTTGGTAAAGTGCCTGCCATGGACACATGTAGATCTGAGCTTCTGCACCAGAACCAAAGGCTCAGTGGTTCAGAGCACTGGTTGCTCTTCCTGAGAGCCCTAGTTTGGTTCCCAGCAACCACATAGTGACTGCAACTCCAGTTCCAGGGCATCTGATGCCCTTCTAGTCTCCAAGAGCACCAGACACATACACGGTGCACAGAGACACATGCAGGTCAGGTGTAGTGGTATATGATTGTACTCTTAGCATTGGGGAAGCAGAGACAGATAGAGTCCTGCTTTGCTGGCCAGTCAGCCTTGCCTACTCCAGAGGCTCCAGCCCAGTGGGAAGCCCTCTGAAAGACAAGCTGGGTGGCTCCTGAGGAATGCACACCTGAGGAATGCCTGAGGGTTGACCCCGACACACACACACACACACACACACACACACACACACACACACTCGCTATCTCTCTCTCTCATACAGACACACACACACACACACACACTCAAAGTGCACCAGCTACTCAGAAATTCCCAAATGGACCCTGATTAAGAATTTAGAAGCACTTACATTTTTTTCTGATCTTAACAGTCACACATTCCTTGTGGTCGGCCTCAGTGACATTGTTTAAGGATGCAACACAACTTGGCACTACCTGCAGCAACTCCATTATTTTTGAATCCTGCAGTTGGAAAGCGAAAATGTCACCCTCACCCTAAGTTAGCTCTGCAACAACAGCACAGCAATGAGAACACATCCGGGCCATGCCTGCTGTCCCAGCACTTAGGGCTGAGGCTAGAGAACAGCTTGAGCTGAGGAGTTCAAGATTGGGCAACGGAGAAACTCTGTTTCAAATAAGGATTCTGTTCTTCCTTTAGTAGAGGCTCTGGCCTTCACTAGGAACCTCAGCCTGCATGTTAAACTGGGGTAAGCGCAGTAGGGCTGTCACTAGTGGTTATTAGTAGACTGTTCAGGAGGCACTGCCCAGTCCACAATGGAACATTCTCGGCACCACCCATCTTTGAGAAAGTACTAAACAAAAAGTTACGCGCTATCTGTTAAGTAACATCAACCCTCACAGGTACTTCCCCCCATTCAAGGACACCCAAAATTCACCAACACCGGACACACCTTACATTATATCTCTAGATTAAGGCAATAAGAGACAATATTTAAAAGTTTTTCCTTTTGGGCTGGAGAGATGGCTCAGTGGTTAAGAGCACTGCCTGCTCTTCCAAAGGTCCTGAGTTCAATTCCCGGCAACCACATGGTGGCTCACAACCATCTGTAATGAGGTCTGGTGCCCTCTACTGGCCTGCAGGCATACACACAGACAGAATATTGTATACATAATAAATAAATAAATATTAAAAAAAAAGTTTTTCCTTTTGAGGTGCTAGGGATATTACCCAAGACTTTGCACCTCCAGCCCCTCACTGGGGGATTCTAGGCAGGGGCTCTACCACTGAACCACACCCCAGCCCCTCACTGAGGGATTCTAGGCAGGGGCTCTACCACTGAGCCACACCCCAGCCCCTCACTGGGGGATTCTAGGCAGGGGTTCTACTACTGAGCCACACCCCCAGCCCCTCACTGGGGATTCTAGGCAGGGGCTCTACCACTGAGCCACAACCCCCTCACTGGGGGATTCTAGGCAGGGGCTCTACCACTGAGCCATGTCGCCACCCTTAAAATTAAATAGGCCTATAATTAGGTTGGATTTATAGTGACTTTAACATCTCTATTGAGTCAATCAGCAACCACTAGCTGTCTGTTTGGAGTTTAGCTGAGATTTACCATGAAGACAGGAACAGAGGAAAGCAACTTTCAGCATGATTGGCTGGAGAGAGTAGTAAGCTGGGCATCTAAATTCTCTTAGGATCTGAGGAATTTAAATCCCTACAAACTAAGACTCTCCATTATGCTACAGGGCTGGCCAATCCATCATGGCGTCTACCCTGCCACTTCCCAAATGTGACAGCATCTATGTGTTCTAAACCAAGGTGTCCAATGGTGGCAACCGATAGGTGCTCTGCCTTCACTCGGGCCTTGGAAAGAATGCGCACTGGCATTGTGAGCATGTCCAACCAGGTGACAGTGGCTAGTATCCAGCCCTGCCAGGGGACGTCTGGCATGCTCACTTAGCTCAGCACGGAGCACCAGAGAGCCTGGCTGTTGCCCTCTCACACCTGGCTTGAGCACAAGGGCTCTACAGTGTGCTTCAGGGAGCACTGGTGCTCATCCCGCAAAAGCTGCGTGTCACCTGTTCTGCACAGTCCACGGCCGTGTACTGCCTCTTGTTCAGGATGTCAACAGATGCTCCGTGGAACAGAAGCAGCTCCACCACCAAGGCATGCCTTCCCAGCACAGCCTCGTGCAGGGCTGTGTTGCCTTTGTTGTTGGAAGCATTGATGGCGGCCCCGTGCTAGGAGAGAGATGGGACAGGAGATGCAGAATCTATGTGACTGCTCACTATAAAATTACTTTTTAAAAAATTTCCTTATTGGCTGAAGTACATGTGTGCCACAGCATGAATATGGAGGTCAGAAAACAGCTCTCTGGTTGATCTCTCCTGTCTTGTTTCTACTGTTCTACTGCATAAGGGAGCATCTTGCCAGCTCTCCTGTCCCCGCCTCCCATCTCGAGGTTGGACTGCTGGGATTATAGGCATGAACCACAGGCATCCACAACTTTTCTAAAGGTCTATTTGTTTTTATTTTATGTGTTGGAATGTTTGGCCAGTGTGCATGTATGTGCGCTGTGCGCATGCTTGATGACTTTGACACCAGAAAAGGGTGCCAAACACCCTGGCAATGGATGGCTGTAAGCCACTATGTGGGTGCTAGGAACCGAACTTGGATCCTCTAAGAGCAGCCAGTAAGCCGGACATGGTGGCACACCTTTAATTCCAGCACTTGGGAGGCAGAGGCAGGCGGATCTCTGATTTCAAAGCCAGCCTGGTCTACAGAGTGAGTTCCAGGACAGAAAGGGCTACACAGAGAAACCTTGTCTCAAAAACACAAAAATAAAAACAAAAAAGGAAAGAAAAGAAAAAGAAAAAAGAAAAGAAAAGCCAGGGCTCTTCACACTGCTAAGCCATCTCTCCAGCTCCTGTGTCCACCTTTCCCTGGATCCCAGGGCTGGAGTTTAGAATTTAGGGAGTTGGGTTTGCACAAGCACCTGCTGGGCCATCTCCCAGGACCATAAACTTATTTTCTATAGACAGGGTAGTGAAACATACCTTTAATCCAAACACCCAGGAGGCAGAGGCAAGCCTATCTCTTTGAGTTTGAGGCCAGCATGTCTACCTGGTGAGTTCAAGGCCAGCCAGAGCTACACAGTGAGAACCTGTCAAAAAGGAAAGTAGTCTGTCTTTAGGATGATGTCACTATGTAGCCCAGGCTGGCCTCAAACTCAGTCTCCTGGGTGTTAGGATTACAGGTGTGTGGTTCACTAGAAAATTCTTGGAACTTCTTTTAAAAATCTAGTTGGACTTTTTGTCTTTCCTTTCGACTTTTAACTTTGTGCACATGTGTATGGTTGCGTGGTTCTGCGCGGAGGTGCACAGGTGCCTAGAGAGGCCAGAAGCGGCAGATAACCGGGGCTCTCATTTCCAGTGGTTGTGGGCCACCTGACACGGTGCTGGGAGCTAAAGTCAGGTCCTCTGTAAGACCATGAGCCTTGACTGCTGAGCCATCTTGTTAGTCCCCAAATCAAGGGTTTTAGCAATTGTTTTAACAACAATTTTCTATGTTAAGCAGAAAAATGTTTTCTTAAATTGCTGAGGATTAAAGTCAGCAACAGTTCCCAGCAACATCAGACGGCTCACAACTGCCTGTTAATGCCAGCTACAGGGGATCCTGTGCCTTCTTCTGGTCTCTGTGAACACTGCATATACATGATATGGCATACATACACACATGCAGGGCAAAACACAAATACACATAAAATAAAAATAAACAAATCTTTAAAATCTATAAAAACAAAAGTTGTTTTAAAAAGTCTAGCTGGATGGGGGTGGCTCATGTTTTATCCCAGCAATCAGAAGGTAGAGGCAGGCGGTAGAAAAACCCTGTGTAGATTTTGAAACTACAAAGCCAAGAAAGAAGGGAGGGAGGGAAGGAAGGAAGGAAAGAAGAAGGGAAGGACGGAAAAAGCCTGGTATGGCAGGGAGGGAAGGGCTCTCACCTGCAGCAACAGGGCAGCGACTTCATGGTGGCCACCAGAGCAGGCATAAATGAGAGGCGTGTTCCCGCCGAGGTCCTTTTTATTAGGTTTTGCACTGGAGTCTAAGAGGCATTTCACCACCTAGTTCAGAGAAGAAGAAATGTCAATCTTAATTATAACTTAGGAAAAGATGTCTTTCTCCTCAGGTGAAATGAACCCTGTGGAGGAAGGTGGCTAGCGGAGGAGGGAGTCACATCTCCAGGCTTCGGCTCCATTCCCACGATGCACCAGGCACTGGGTTTCCATCTTTACTGCTGCCTACGGGAGTTTGCAGCCAGTGCTTCCAATGTATGGTGGGAAGCAGCCTGCTGGACATCCGAGGGGTGTGCTGACTGGAAACATGGTTCTGCCTTTAAAACCCAAAGGGGAATGTCCCACGGCAAAGGGAAACAGGCACACACAGATACCTTCCCAAAGGAAGCAGACTTTAGGGAGTCACTAGGTTCAAAGCCAGGTGCAATGGCACGCAGTTGTAATCCCAGCACTCAGGAGACTGAGGAGGCAGGAGGACTGAAAGTTTGAGACCAGGCTGAGTTACATACTAAGACCTCGTCTCAAAACAAAACAAAGACTAATAACTGTAAACTTCTGCCCTGATTGTACATTATACAATAATAAGTTATTTTGCACAGATCTAAGGGAGTGTAGTGATCAGCTCCATGGCAGAAGAGACTCATTCTTGCTGCAGTCAGAATCACAGCGGCAGCTCTGATTGGCAGTGGGGAGGGTTCTGGTATCCCCCAGGTGTGGGGTCCCACTGTGGGCAGAATAGAAATGCTCTGTCCTCTAGGATCCCCTGAGCCCCGCCCCAGCACACTGGCACTAAGTGAGGGTCTGGGGCCATACCTGGAAGTGGCCCTGCTGGCAGGCCAGGTGGAGCGGCACAGCTTGGCTTGCATTTCTGGCACCCGAGTAGGCACCGTGCTTCAGCAGGAGGGGGACGAGGTCCGTCCGGCCATGCAAGGCAGCCATATGCAGGGGAGAGCAGCCGTCCTGGTTGGTCACATTGACACCAAGGCCACTGGCAGGAATCCTTGCCAATTTCTAGTGAAGGCAGAGGGTGTAAATAAATGGCATTCACACTTAAGAGGCTAAGCCAGGGGTGGTGATGGAAGCCACCTCCCTGCTCCCTCTTGGCTCCTACACAAATTCTGGGATCACAGAGGGAACTGGATTCAACATGGCCCATGAGTGACTTCCCAATTCTCTGGGAGGACATGAAACAACAAAAGACTGACTTCTATTTTTCAATAAAGTAAGCCCTCCACAGGATGCCTTATCATGCGAGGCAAGAGCTCCAAAGAGACAAAACCTACGCCTGAAGGAAGGGGCAGTCCATGAAATGTAATGAGAAAAACCAAGCCCGTTCAATAAAAAAGACTGGAGCTTAGGGTGGTGCATGCCTTTAATCTCAGCACTTGGGAGGCCAAGGCAGGTGAATCTCAGTGAGTCTGAGGCCAGCCTGGTCTACAGAGTGAGTTTCGGGACAGCCAGGACTGTTACACACAGAAACCCTATCTTGAAAAACCAGAAAAAGCAAACAAACAAAAACCAAAAAGGACTGGGATGATCAGGAACCCACACAGGCACACCGGGCACCAACCCTAACTGCAAACACAAACTGGAAGGCATCATAGCCAAGAGAAGCCATGGTCATTTGGCGGAACAAAACGCTGCTCATGGCAATGCTCGATAACGAGGCCAGTTACCAAGGAAACGCACATCAGTGCCAGGAGTGACAGAGCCCAGTGCCAAGAAGACAGATCATGGGTCTGTAGGGACGGGAAGGGTGGGGGCTTCATGAGCAGGGGTACTGACGCATAAACACAGTCTCTCTTCCTGATGGTGGAAGGCTATGCGTGGAAGCTGGCAGGGGTGGGTAGCACACAGCTGTAATCCCACCACCTGGGTCAAGTAGGAGGGTCAGGAGTTCAAGGTCATCCTTAGCTACAAAGTGAGTTTGAAGCCAGACTGAGATTAAAGAAACAAATCAGCTACAAGTTTGCCAAACCTCCTCAGACAGCCAATACATTCCTCACCCTCCCCATTTCCCTTTCATTTCTAACATGAAATTACCTTCTTATCCCTGACGGCTTTAAAGTCATGCTGAGAGGAGAGGAATCAACCAAAAGTCAAACAGAGCTGCTCTGTAGAGCATCTCATTGAGAACAAACATTACTGTATGCACTGAAGGTTGGATCTTACTACATGTAAGTCACACCTTTAAAAAGGGTGTGTGTGTGTGTGTGTGTGTGTGTGTGTGTGTGTGTGTGTAGGGATGGATGACTCAGTGGCTGCTCTTCCCGAGGTCTGGAGTTCAGTTCCCAGCACTCACTTAGTGTAGCTCACAAACATCTGTAACTCCAGCTCTAGGGCATTCGACGCCCTCTTCTGGCCTCCATGAGCACTGTGCACACATGGTGCATCAATATATATGCCAGCAAAACACCCATGCATAGAAAATAAAAAGTTCGGCGAGCCATGGTGGTGCGTGCTTTTAATCCCAGCACTTGGGGTGGGGGGTAGAGGCAGGTGAATCTCTGTGAGTTCAAGGTCAGCCTGGTCTACAGAGTGACATCCAGTCAGGGCTACACAGAGGAACCCTGTCTCAAAAATAACTTAAATAACAAGTGGGCTGAAAACAACCAAAGAAGGGATGATGGTCTCCTCATCACGTGACTGATCGGCCCCTGGGGTGTTTGTGTCACTCAGGCAGGACTTAGAGAATTTCCTAGGCAGAAAGAACAGCACGTGCCTCCCATCCCTCCACCCTGTCCCCAGATACAGGCAGAGTCGAACCTTCTGGACTGGAGCACACTTTGGGCACTGGCATAAGGGGTGACAGAATTCAAGATCCACCGTGCTGATGGCCTCATCCACATCGTCCAGGTCATCCTCCGTCCACTCCAAAAGGTAGCGAACCTGGTGGCAGGCAGAGAGGAGAAGCGGGAACTCCATTATTCTGATGCATTTACTAGTGGGTGTGCGTGCACACACACACACATACACACACACACACGCACGCACGCACGCACGCACACGCACGCAAGCACGCGCACACACACTTTCCAAAATCAGCCCCTTGGACCACTGAAGTCACTGACAAAAATAATTTGTTCCTCAACAATAAATCTAGGCTCCACCTGTGTTCAGGCCATTCTAAGTTCCCTGGGTAGCATAGAGGGATTAACCTGTCATTTCCCAGCATATTAATCTTTGCCGCATTCAGAGGGACAGACTGAAGTGGGGCAGGAGGGCAGGCTGTCAGACCGTGGCCCTTAGTACACACCCTTATACCACCTAAGCAGGTCAGTTCCAGATCCTCCCTTACTGCCCAACAGAAACCTCATGGTAAGTGTTCCGTGCTGTGCTACATACAGAGTGCACCCCAGAATCCCCAACCTCCCACCAGTGTCCTTCCATGCCAACATGCATAGCAGAAGCAAAGAAACCCCCAGACTGGGCATGCACAGGTTCTAGCCTAGGCTAGTTGCTAGGATCTGAAACCTGAGAAGACAGCCTGTGTGGTGGCCCACACCTGCAATCCCAGCACTCAGGAGGCTGAGGCAAGAGGGTTGCAAGTTCAAGACCAGCCTGAACCACACAGTAAGACCCTGTACTCCCACAAAGAAAACTATTCATAATAATTCATTTGCGAAAAGAAAGCAGCCACAGACTTGCATTTCTAGGTTTCACTGCCAGTGTCCAGGCGTCAGCATGTGTCTGAGAGGGGGACGGAGCTTGCGGGGAACCCCATCACTGCCAAGCCTCCTGTTCCCCATGGTCCTTCTGGATCCTACGCAGGGGTGGCAACTATAAAACCAGCCAGCTCTGCTCACAAGTCGGGGTAGGAACCAGATGGGCAGGTGGCCTCAAGAGAGACCCTTGTGACAGCACAAGGAGGTCAATTTGGACGGTGACTTGGGACACTGCATAGGATGTCACCGTCCACCCCTTTCCACAAGGGGGCCTGGACCCCATCTGCCCCCAGGGGGAGCAGAGTAGACGGTCATAACCCGGGCTAGTCACAGCTTTCCACACAGACCCTTAGAAGGTGACTCATTCAGAGCTCCAGGTTTGCTACTTTCAAGAAGCCAATGGAAACTGGCCGGGAAAGACTTGTCTCTACCAGCTGCTGCTGCTGTTGTGAGCCCCATCCCTGCTTGTGACAGCCCAGAGCCCCAAGCCTGTTGGTCCAGGACAAGTCCACTGTCCACAGACTATCATCACTGAAGCTCATGCAGCCCTGGCTTTGTTTGGCTTTCCCATTCCTCCCATTCCTGTAACCCTGGTCTGGATTCTGGCCAGCATCACTTGGACTCCCAGAAGGGCCCTCTCTAGAAGGCAGGACCCTGCTTGCTAGGCACTTCCTCCCTGGATAAGCCTAGCATCACCATGACAGAGTACATGCAAAGTACAGGTAAAGTAGATGCAAAATACACGTAAGCTTCCTGGGGAGCTTGCAGGGAGGCCACAGAGCGAGAGGGTCAAACAGAGGCAAGAAACGTGACTGAGGTCACTTCACACTGAGAGCTCTAGAAATGCTCTTCCTCGGGGATTTTAATCTCAAATGGTCCCTCACAGGGACGTCTGTCCCTCCTGTTTTGGATGCCCACTCACTAGCTGGGGCATTGTGATTCATGTCACACTGAAGATGGTGGAGCCCTCAGGAGCCTGGAGTTAGCTGTGGGATATCCTGCACCAGGGGCAGGCCTTTGGGGGGTTCCCTTTGCTTCTTGGGCCATCCCATGTGAAGAGCGGCTGCCTCATGCCCCCAGCACCACAGTGTCCCTGTAGTGATGGACTGAACCCTCTTCCTCTTCAGTTATAAACATCAGGTATTTTGACACACATTGGTGAGAAAAAACACTCTCTGAAAAACTCACCATTTCGAGATCTCCATCAGCAACCGCTCTTAGAAGCTTTTCTACCTTAATGGAAGGAGAAAGCAAGTCAGGGAAATGGCTTCATAATAAAATAACACCGGGAATGACTCTAGCATTCTGAAAACCTAGTAGCCTTCCCTCCAGGTTCAGCGACTCACTTGGCACCTTTAAAACATGTCCCCAAGACTGTTCATCTAGATGCCCCAACAGCTGCACAGGACCCCTCCCACTTAATATAAACCAGAACCCTAATTATGTGGGAGGTGAGATCATAGAGAGCCGCATGATGCCACGCCTTACAGGTGGCGCTGATTCCCGCCTTCTACCTTTCCAACAGTGAGTGCTCTCAGGCGCTTAAACTCCATATATGGCTAACGCTAAAGATCTGGCTTGCTTCCACATTTCTGGACCTATCTGCGTGTCCCACATGGCTTGCTGGGGTTGGCTACCCAGAGGTTACGAGAGATAACGAAAGGGTGAGAAGATTATTTTAAGGGCCTGAATAAACCGTTCCGTCTTCATTGCTGATAAGGCGGACGCGACATGAGATGACAGTGACCCTAACACAAGATGACTTCCTTCTTTCTGTTTGGTGGTACTAAGAACAGAACCTAGGGCATTATGCATCCTAGGCAAGTGCTCTGCCGCAGGGATAAACCCCAGGGCTCTTTTTACTTTGTATTTCAAGACAGAGGCTCACTAAGTTCTTCAGGCTGAGCTGTGAACTCACACTAAGGCCCCAGCAAACCTTGGGTTGTGGTCTTCCTGCCTCCCCCTCCTGAGTAGCCAAGACAATAGGTATCTGCCACCAGCTGCAGGTCAGAATCCCTTCTGAAGAAGCCAGCTACCCCGACCCACCACTTCATACACCCAGCTCTCATACTTTGTAAGGTACAGGGGGTGTGAGAGTAGATGCCCCTCCCAAGAACCATCGCAGGTCTCTGAGAGACTGGAGGCCCTGTCTGGGCACACCTTGGCTATCTTTTCTGTGGCTCTGCATGAAGTTCACTGGATGCTTTGGGGGTGGGTGTGACCCCACTGGGATGGTCAGTGACCCATGAGAGGAGCAATGGGTCAGGGACACAATGGTTCACACCTCTGCAGAAGGATGGGACAGATTGGTTGCGCTGATACTGAACAAGCATGAAGAAGGAAAGGAAAGGAAAAAGACAAACCGTAAACCAACTTTTACAAAATGTGAGCCGCGTACACGTCAGACTGTAAGGGATGAAGTGTACCAGGCTATATTCACAGGGATGCTCCCGGGGCGGAGACAGAGGGTGTACTCAAAGAGTCGGAACTTGGAGCTCTCAGCTATCTTTATACAAGCACGTTTTTCTTAGGCTACAGTTTCTTTGGCTACTTTTTGTTCTGCCCCATCTCTGGGTGTCTCTGTGCCCCCCACCCTCTCTTTCTCTCATACACACACATTCCAAGAACTGCTATGGAGAACAGACCTAGAAGTTCCAGAAAAGGTGAAGACAACGTGGCATGCAGTTGGGCACATCTCAAAGGTATTGACCTTGGAGCGACAAACCAGCTGATTTGTAAGCTGGCTGTAGGCTGGCCCAGCTCTGGCTAGCCTACAGGGCCCGCCCATGTAGGAGGCTCACCTCCCTGTAGTCCTTTTTGACTTCTTCTTGCCTGAAGCTCACCGAGATGGAAGAAAAGCTGGAAGTGGAGGAGCCCTGGCTGATGGAATCCACGGAGCATGTGGGGGACAGCGCAGGGACCTGTGGGAAGGTAGCACAGGAAATGAAAGGGACATGGGCATGGTCACAGGCACGTCAGGTTAGAGGAGGGGTGCCAGGCTCGTGACAGCAGGCAGCATGACTCTACAGACTTGGAGACTTACCTCAGAAGGCCTTGGCCTCCGTTCAGAGGACAGCTGATGGGCTTCCATGATAGACAGAATCTAGGTGGCAATGAGGACAGGAAAGGCATCCAATGAGATGGCTGTAACATCCCCAGGTTCCTCAGCCTGCCTGTCCCCAGGGCACATTGATAGAGATGGTCGTAGGTCTATGAAAAGGCTCATTTTGGGGTCTACAGAGACTGTTCTGCAGGCGAAAAGCAAGTGCTACCAAGCCTGACCAACGGCGTTTGACACCCTGAACCTACATGTTAGAACGAGAGAATTCTGACATCCCCCCATGCAAAATAAAATTTAAAATGTAATATTTTTAAAGCTAAAATTTACAAATAATTACTGAGAATTTTTCCACTATTTTTAAGATGGCGTTTTTTTTCCTACCAGACGTTAGTCTGTTTTATACTGGTGGGGCTGGGCTTCACAAAGGAGCTGTCTGCTAAACATCCCCAGCAACCTTTCTCCTCTTGTGATCGGAAAGAGTCTTCTGAACAGACATTTTGAGACCTAGAGTATTCTACTACTGGTCACACTTGAGGAGATAACTTTAGGACTGGCTGAGGAACCCCATTGAACATGGCTGTTACCATGGATGCCCGAGTCCCCACTGAAGATGGCTGTTACCATGGATGCCTGAATTTGATGCTCTCTTCCTCTTATTCCATTTATTGTTAGAGCTGGCTTGAAAGTTTGACAACAGCAAGAATCTTCAGGGACTGAAGAGATGGCTCTGTGGTTAAGAACACTACACACTACTCTTCCAGAGGCCCCAAGTTCAGTTCCCAACACCCACATCGGGTGGCTCCCAGCCACTTATAACTTCAGCTCCAGGGAGATCCGGTGCCATCTTTAGGACTCCAAGGCCACTATACTCACACATGTATGCATTCACACAGACAAGCATGCATACACATAATTTAAAACAAAACAAATAGGGCTGGAGAGATGGCTCAAGGGTTAGGAACACCTGAGTGCTCTTCCAAAAGACCTGGGTTCCATTTCCAGCAGCCATGTTGGGTGGCTTACAGCTGCCTATAACTCTAGTCCTAGAGGATCTGATGCGCTTACAAACACAAAACATACGGATACATATAAATTAAAAAAATAAACTGATTTTAAAAGAAGTATCTAACACCAGATAGTAGCTGCACACAACTTTAATCCTAGCACTTGGGAGGCAGAGGCAGGCAGTGCTCTGTGAATTCGAGGCCAGCCTGGTCCACAAAGTAATTTCCAGGATATCCAGGGCTATACAAAGAAACCCTATTTCAAAAAACCATAAATAGGGCTGGAGAGATGGCTCAGTGGTTAAGAGCATTGCCTGCTCTTCCAAAGGTCCTGAGTTCAATTCCCAGCAACCACATGGTGGCTCAAAACCATCTAAAATGAAATCTGATGCCCTCTTCTGGCCTGCAGGCAGACACACAGACAGAATATTGTATACATAATAAATAAATAAATATTAAAAAACCATAGATAGATAGATAGATAGATAGATAGATAAAACCTTTTTTAAAAAGAAAACATGCCTTATGCCCTGCAAATCCTCCCTACCCTCAGACAGATGGAAAAGCCAGAACTTCCTCCTCTTCCTCAAGACCAAGTCTAGAGGCACAATAATCCCAGCACTCAGGAGACTGAGGCAGGAGAATTTCTGTGAGTTAAAGGCTAAATACGAGACTCAGTCTCTAACTTATCTAATTCAGCCATCCAATTTTGGGCCAAACTAAAATGCAGTTTCTAGAAGCAGAGATGAAGAGAGAGGAGACGGCACTTGTCCCTGCAGTGTCTTGCCCTCCATCTGCTTTGTGGCTCGTCACAGTCACAGCCACCGCCCAGTCTCACATAGCACACAGTCCCTGGGCCAGGAGAGGCACAACACTCAAGAGAGCTCACAACCGGAGCTGAGTCTGCCAGAAGCTGCTCCTAATGACAACACTGAGAGAAACTGCCAACAAAACTGGAAACTCTATCCATCAGGATAACCCATTAACAACGAGGTCCCAAACAGAGCAAAAGGATGGCGCTCGGGTGCTAGCATACATTTTCTCAGGAGGCCAGTCTGTGTACGGATTTTTTTTTAAATAGTCACATAGGTGCTCAGAGTTGGAAAGAGCTACCTTTGAGTTCAGTGCACACTTGAGTGGCGTTTCTTTCTGTCTGTTCTGGATCTCCGTGGGGGCTCCATTCTGCAGCAGCGTCTCTATGATGCTCTGGTAACCCCAGCGTGCAGCAACGTGCAGGGCTGTGTCTCCTTTCTCGTTTCCGATGTCCAGTCTGCAGGCCTGGACATCATAGTAGACCAGAGCCTTCACACACTGCAAAGACATAGCAAAATCATTGTTTTCTACCATGAAGGAACGCCTAGGGCAATGCCAGTCCTGCCCTTAGCCATGGGCCATGGCCTAGTTTGACCAAGGCTCCACTCACCAAGATAAAAATACAGAAACCAGCAGTTATAATTTAAGGTTTCCACATCCCCTGATTAAGACACCTCATTTTTTCCCCAAAAGACCCCAACTAGTTCATTGGTAGAGTATTTGTCTAAAATCCTCCAGTAGGGGGTTGGGGGTATGGCTCAGTGGTAGAACACTTGCCTAGAATCTTCCAGTGAGGGGCTGAGGTGTGACTCAACGGTAGAGTACCTGCCTAGACTCCCCCAGAGAGGGGCTGGGGTATGGCTCGGTAGTATAACCTTTGTCTCCTAGTCTAGCATGCAAGGAGGCCTTGGGACAATTCCCAATAACAAGCGAAACATGAGGGTGAAAAAAAATTCACCAATCGCCAGTCAATAAGAGAGTAGCCTTGCTTATACTCCCAATTGGGAAAACTGAATGGGTTTGAGGGAAGCCTGGATAACAGACAGAGATGCCTGTCTCAAAATAATCCAAAAAAATAACAAAAGAAGTTTTCAAACTTGCAAAACAAAATTAATTACATATATTGGAAAAAACCTTTACGAAAATGAAATTGGCCAGGTGGTGGTGGTGCATGCATTTAATCCCAGCACTCAGGAGGCAGAGGCAGGTGGAACTCTATTGAGTTCAAGGCCAACCTGGTCTCCAGAACAGTTAGGGCTGTTACAAAGAGGAACCCTATCTCAAAAAAAGAAAGAAAGAAAAGAAGGAAGGAAGGAAGGAAGGAAGGAAAAAAGGAAGAAAGAAAAGAGAAGAAAAGAAAAGGAACTTGTTTAGTAGACTGCAGAACCATCCAAAATGAATCTCAAAGCAGGCCTGGGTAAGTATTTACCAAGGAGGTTATACACAGATGGGTGATTTCTGCTGGAACTTGAAATGACTTCTCTTACTATACAGGAGCAGTTACATAAACAGATACAAATTACGTAACATTAGATACAATTCAGATTTTCTACAAGGACATCTGTGGTGAACCCACACCTTTGACCCCACTACTCATTGAAGAGACCACACAGGAGGTCTAGGAGGTTCAATGCTATCTTGGGCTACACCATAAGACCGGGAAAAAGAGTGTATAACTCTAGAAATGGGAGGGGAGTCTGTGACAAACATGTGCATAGTAAAGTCAGAGGAAGAAGTGGAAATCTTAGAGTTCCTCGATGCTATCATAAAATGTGAAGGAGTTCAGAGTCAGATGGTCATGTGGGCGATTAAAACTGATTTAACTTCACGGTGAGATCAGGAACAATTAGGTCTTAAATTTCTCCATGTATCTATCACATCTATAAATCTTTCGACATTTAAATGTTGTAGATTACAGGGCCAGCAGGTGGCGCCATAGGTGAGCACTTGCTATACCAGCCTGGGTTCCATCCCGGAACCCCTGTAAAAGTCAGCTTGACAATCCAGAGTGCTCTGGGAAGAGGGAGCCTCAGCTGAAATGGAAGTCTGTGGAGCCTTTTCTTGATTGGAGATTGATCTGGTAAGCCTCACTGTGCACCGTGCCACCCCTGGACTGACGGTCCTGGGTTGTATAAGAAAGCAGGCTGAGCAAGCCATGATGAGCAAGCCAGTAAGCAGCACCCCTCCATGGCCTCTGCTTCAGTTCCTGCCTCTGGGTTCCTGCTTTGAGTTCCTGTCCTGACTTCCCCCAGAATCGACTGTAACCTGTAAGGTCAAAGAAACACTTCCCTTCTCAAGTTGTGTGTGGTCACAGGTTCATCACAGCAATATAGAAACCAATCTAGGACCCGGTGGGCGGAGAGAACAGGCTCCACACAGCACATGTGTGGTGGCCCCTGTCCCATCGGGTACATACCATAACCACATAGGACAACAAAAAGTAAACAAAACTTTAAAAAATTACATACCAACGTTTTGATAACTATCCACAGGCAACCCACCACCGGGCTAGTTTCTAATCTGTAACTCTTCACAAGGGAGAAATACGTAAAGCAGTGGTTGGGTGCAGCGGGGGCCACTTACATCCTCGTGCCCGTAGGTGCAGGCCAGGTGCAGCGGGGTGTTGCCGTTGTTGTCCTGCACCTCCGTGCTGGCCTTGTAGTGCAGCAGCAGCAGCTAAGAGGAGAGAAGACAGCAGCTGAGCTCCAGGAGAAGCAGGGAGCGCCACAGCATCCACAAGTGTGTCCTTCCAGGGCTGGGGTCATGGTCATATCTTAAACATTACACGGGCTGTATACTCTTGGCCCTAAATCCAAAATATTTCTTTCTTTTTTTTTTCAGGGGAGAAACGCGGGGCCCCACCCATGCTAGGTGGATGCTTCAGCACAGAGATACACCTCCAACTCCCCAAACCTGGAAAGCGTTGAGCTTTTGACAGAACCCAAGCAGAAAACTCCACACCAGGTCACATGTGACAGAGGCATGTAACACGTGCCAAACCACAGGCACACTAAAACACTTAGAACATTATACAAAAATCACCTTTAGGCTATGTGCCCGCTATTCCAAAATCCAAAACACCCAAGCATTAAGATATGGGATTCTCAACCTATACCCCTGTTAAAATTATGCCATTGCAGGCTGGCAAGATGGCTAAGCAGATAAAGACACTTGTTACCAAGCCTGACAACCTGAGTTCAAGCCCTGGGATCCACGTGGTAGAAGGAAGAGAACAGATTCCAGCAAATTTCCCTTTGAACTCCACATGTGCATGGTGGCTCACATGCACACATACAGATGTAATACACACATAAATTATGACATGTTCACTGCTTCCCGTCAAAACAACATTTAAAGAAAAATGTCTAGGACCCTGCCCTTCCCTCCCTGAGATGATCAGGAAGTTTCCCATCTCAGCCCATCTCCAGGGAGGTGCCTCGGCCTCCGGGGTCCTTGTGCCTGGCAGCAGTAGAGCCAGCACTGGAATAGTGCATGGTACAGCCATGGAGTCTCTACACAGAGAGGAATCAGCTGAGCAATGCTCCACACAACCCTGCCGCTCACCGTCACACTTTGGAAGCCTTTCTGACATGCCAGATGGAGGGGAGTGGACCCATGATAGTCGGTGGCGTTCACTATGGCACCTTTGGAGACCAGGAAGTCAATGAGGGATGCCTGACCTGCAGAGCAGAAGGACCTCTCACTGGACGAAGCAGAGTGGCTTCCAATGACGATACCACCTCACTCTTTATGGCCCTGGCAGGACACCCACCAGGGGACACAGTCCCAGCTGTTCAGGAGCCAGAGTTAACATGGGTCAAACACTGAAGACTTGAATCACTTTGGGATGCCCTACAAAGGGATCACAACCTGGTCTACTTCGACAGCAAAAATGGCAATGGGCCAGGGGCTTGAGGGATGGCTCAGTGATTAAGAGCACTGGCTGCTCTTCCAGAGGACCCAGGTTCGATTCCCAACACCCACATGGTGACTGACAACATTTGTACTCCAGGCTTCTAGTTTTGAGATGGAGTCTCACTATATAGCCCAAACTGGTCTTGAACTCATAATCCTCCTGCCTCAGCTTCCTGAGTGCCTGAGATGATAGATCTGTGCCATCACACCTGGCTCAATACTGTCTTTTAAGACAGAGATATGTGAGCTCCAAACCACAATTCTGAGATCGTCTTAGCACATGTCCTCACTGGCCAGACTCCAAGCCTGGAGGGCCACATGCCAGTCTCCAGCCTGCAAGATGGCACAGTGGTTAACAGGTTCATGGGGGATACTTATCAGTCAAAGGGAGGAAACCCATGGGATGCACCCACAACACAACCCTTGCCGGTACCCCATCAGCTGGGCCTCCACTGGCTTTGGGGTACTAATCATCCTTTTGTCTCAGTAATTCATAGGAGCCAGCCCAAGGCCACATACCACAGAGGGCAGCCACATGGAGGGGTGTTTGACCCCGGTCATCTCTGGAGAAAGGAGTGACAACCGATGGGTCATTCAACCTCCTGAAACAGAAAGAAGATGGGGAAAATACAACAGACAAATGCACGGCAGAGCCCTCCCCACCAGGCCGCACGAGACGAGGTCAAACTGAATGTTGTCCAAGATGAGAGCCTTCCCCACTGTTAAAGGATCAGACAGAGGTGCCAGCACTCTCCCGGGCGCTGAGGATCAGAGGCCTGTGGCTCCAGCATCCTTCCCCACTGACCCTTAGGCCTCGACACGACAAAATCGCCCACCAAGCATAATGGGAAACCAAAAACGGTATCAGAAGAAACTGGCATTCGCCCCTCTCCCTCTTAAAAGCTCTCGTGAGGCTCAGGCAGGACCTGTGCTGAGGATGCAGAAGAGGCACACGTTTCCCTGCACTCAGGACACAGCCAACAACTGCGGGGCAATGGGAAGAGCCTTCTCTGTGAATTCTCACTCGGGCTCTCCGTGCCCCCAAGGCCCATCTTACCCAGAGACAAGCTTCTCACAGTCCTCGCAGGAGCAAAGAGGGTGGCACATCTTTTGCATGGTGTCTTTGTCCTGGTCATCTTGGCTCAGAAGTCTTTCCACCTCTTTCTGGTTACCAGATGCAATGTGCTAAATGAAGGGGCACCCAAACAGTATCAGTGTTAAGGCATCCTTTGCTTGCCTTAAGGGTTCTTGAGGTTTGCTTTTCACTTGATTTAGCAGTACTTGCGACTGGACCCAGGATATCACACATCCCAGGCAAGCACTCCATTGTGCTTCTTCTACTACTTAGACAAGGTCTCACTAAGTTGCTTATGCTGGCCTTGAACTCACTCTGTACACCAAGCTGGCCTGGAATTTGTAAGTCTCCTGAGTCACTGGGATGACAAGCCTGGACCACTGAGTCTGGCTTATTTTGTTATTAAAAGAGGTCTCATTCTGTAGCCCAGGCTATTCTCGAACTTTGTTTGTTTGGATTGGTTTTCAAGACAGGGTTTCTCTGTGTAACCCTGGCTGTCCTGGAACTTGCTCTGTAGACCAGGCTGGCCTCGAACTCACAGAGATTCACCAGCCTCTGCCTCCTGGGATAGGTTTATCTGTGATTACACTGAAATGGCTTGTTCTCGGGGGCTGGCTTCAAGTCTATCTGGGCAGACGGAGACACTGGGCTGGTGACTGCAATGAAACCAGCCTGGGTGGCAGCTTCGGGATAGCTTTCACATTCCATTACATAGTTTCTGAAAACAACCTAACAAAATTTCCAAAGTACCAAGAAAAGGCCCCAGTCTATCTCAGACCCCCAGTGTGGATTTTGACACTTCATTACCAAACTTCTCAGCTGTGCCGGCTGACATTCACCTTTAATCCCAGCACTCAGGAAGCAGAGGAAGGAGAATCGTGAGTTTAAGTCCAGCATGGGCTGTACAAGTAGGCACTGTTTCAAAACACCTAGGCCTGAGGGAGTGGCTGAGCTACGGAATACCCATCTAGACACCACCGGTCAGGGGCTGGGCTGTGGTTCAAATGCAGAGTGCTTGCTTAGCATGTGTGTGGTGTTAGGTTCAATTTCCAGCATCAATGAAGGAGTAGGAGAGAAAGGAACAGACAGACAGATAGAGCCTCAGTGCTATCCCTATAGAAATCAAGCAGAGCCTAGGCTTAAAAGAAACAAAATACCTGCAATTAGCAGGAGACCCCACCAGCACACAAACCCACGGGGTTTGGCCTCTGTAATTCACAAACGTGCCCCCTTCTATGGGCTCTCCCAGAAGCCTGATTAACATCAGTAGACCCTCAGTGAAGGTCCAGTCTCATTCAGCCCATGGTGATGGTTAGAAACTGCCTCAGGAGCCTTCCAGGAGTCCGTGAGTATCTGAAGAGAGCTTCCGGCACTCTGGATCAAAGCCCTAGGGCATCAGATACTACACTCTCAGC